GGAGGCCACACAGCTCATGGTTGTTGCATGATGCGCAGTAGCTGGCCTCTTCGTTTCACGTCATATGCCTCTCAGGTAATCCTGGCATGCCCAAATCATCCCTAATCGGCGGTAGCTGCGGCTAGTGTTGTACAGTGTCCAATAATACATGCAGCGTCCAATTCAATCTGTTTTCATTCCGATGACATTCGCAGCTGATTGCAATCGCTTGAAGTTGATTTTTTTGACAGAGGGAGCTGAGATGCTGCATCCAGAATACATGCATTTGTGGTAGCATCAGGCCGAACAAACGCACCGACCAGATTCTGGGTTGTGGTACACCGTTCCACTACGCAAAGCCAGACAATGGATCAAGATGCTTGGAGGACCACCGTTGGCCGCAGCATGCATTGCCTGACGTGACATGTGCCTGGCTTGACTTGGGCAACGAGGTCTGGATTTGCTAGTAATTCAGGCTTCGTTCCTGGAGTTGATTCGCCTCACCCATGGGTTGTTCCAGCGCCTGGAGAACAGCTCACGCACCGTTGGCCGGGTGCGGGGTCCGATGCAGGGGGTGGTCCCTAGGCACATCTGGCAGTTTCCAGATGTCATGTATCCCTCCGTCCGGGAGGAATCTGGAGCCCAAGGGTTTGCATCCGGGGTCCTTTGAGGCCAACGTGCCGCGCATTGAGGCACATGACAGTGAGGCGATGGGCTAACGCGCTCACTGGGGGACTCTCACAGCACACGTCGGGTTTGACGCTTGTCCTTCCCGTTCTTTTGTGCTGACCTGCGGCTGAAGCAGGGGAGGCCACCGTTGGAGTGTTTCGAGCTTGTGGATGCAGCCCGTGTGTTTCTTGACCTTCGAGGGGTTTCAGTAGTGCCTGGCTGCCTGCACGTCGTTCGTGTTTCTTTCTGCAAGACTTCTCAGGAGCTTTTTCAAGCGCAGAAGTCTCACTCTCACGCAGCCTTGGCCTGGTTTTGCTGATATTCCTGACATCGTTCCTCGGAGTTGAGCTGGTGCAGAGAATCTGTGACTTAGTTCATGGGTTGATCCTATGCTTGGAGACGAGTTCATGCACGATTGGCTGGTTGGGGGCACGATGCAGGATGTGCGGTTCCTCGGCTCTGGAAGCCTTACCCTGTCTCAGGGTAAGGAAATAGACTTCGTGAACGTTTGTCAGTTTCCAGATCTTTGCAGTCTGCTTGGCGGTGTGGCAAACCACCACCACCACCTCCACCACCTCCACCACCTCGCATTGCAGACACGAGCTGCAGCTGTCACCTTCCTGCCAGCTAGTATCTTCGTCATCGCTGTGACTACAATGTCCTGCAGGTGTTGTTGATCTTTATCGTTCACACTTATCGTGCACGTTGGTCCGCTTACTTCTCGTGCAAATTAAACCGTAGAAAGGTGGCCCGCTCGACTTCACCTGCTTCCCCACCCTCAAGGGAGCGGGCGCAGGACGCACAGGGCACCTTTGCAAAGCCGGTATCCAGTATTGTTTTAGGGCCAGAGTAAGATTAGATGGTAGGTCTGCCTTTTCGGCATCTGGGCTGCCAGGCTTCATAAGCTTAGCAAGGAGGCTTTGAGAGCCGTGTAGTACCATGCAGGCTTGGGGGGCAGTAGCAGAGACGCAGAGTTTTAATGCTGTGCACTACCGGGAGTTGGTGGCTTCTAGGCTTGTTGGTGTAAGATTGCAAGATTGCTATAAGTAGACGGGCACTTAATAGGTCTTTGCTGGGCCGTAGCCGGGTTGAGCCTGCCACCTTAAGACTTAAGACCTCTTAAAGAAGCCCAAACCCCACACACATCCGAATGTGTGAAACCAGCCTGCATGAACCGAACACCCAAAGCCTGGCACCACGGCCTCAGGCCCCCCTTTCGACATGCACAGCTGTCTTCTCCGAGTGTGCGTGCGGAGTGCTCGAGTTGCGGCTTCTTTACCATGTCAGAGGCCCCAAACAGGACCTGCAGTCCGCATCCTGCTGCTGGGCCATGAGCTTTTTTCTCTGCCTCACAGGAAGTTCAAGAAGCACAGGGAGACAGCGTGGCACCCGGCATTGCTCTTGGATTCAGTGGGAGTGAACCAAAACCTCCCTTCACGTATTGTACTTGACATGACACTCGCTGTTTGAGCCCTGCCGTCCTGTATCAGTATTATAATATCTAGGCTGAAGAGGCAAGGGTCCACGCGATGCCATGTGGAGTTGAGGCTAGTCACGGCTAGTCTCGCATCCGTCTGTGGTATTTTGGTGGGCATTGGCCATTGAGCAACGGATTCGGGAACCGAAGGCTCGAGACTTACCCCGCTTCTGACCCCATTAAGAGTTTTCAGATGCCATTATAGCCATGTGAGGGCGGAGATGTTGTATGATGTTGTATGTAGACTGGAGGCCCTGAGGCACGCACCTGCACCTGTTTATAGCAGAGACTTCAACGAAGGGGAACAGAACATGCTCCAGGCTTTTGCGGTGTAATGACTGTGCAGCGCGGTACGGTATGATAAACTCTAGCTGTTTTACCGCTTTCAGGGGGGCCGTGCCTCGTAAGAAATGGCCTGGCGAGAAAGCGAGAGCAGAGAGGGAGCGGGAGATTCATGGAGCTTGTGAAGGCTTGAAAATACCCTCATCAAAAGCCCGACGAAGAGGTCAGTCATCCTGTTTTGTGTGAGCGTGGATCCGTATCACCAGTCAGTAATGCCGCTTATCTCGATACAGATGATGATAGGGACCTTCAAATTCCCGTATCACTTCAATGCTCTAGGCTGCAGTCCGCCCTTGCCGGGGCAGCTGCCGTGTCACTCGCGGTTTGTTGCCGACCATTCCATGACCGGCATAGCAGGCCTTCGGCTTTTGCTTGCGAGTTGGTTTACAGATGGATGGGTATACTTTGCCAGCTGGTGCGGTAGGCCGCAGGCAATTGCAGGCTATCTTGGCAGAGGTTGCCAGGCTGGAACGCGTCAAGCCTTCTGTAGCTGTAGTCTCCACTGTCCCAAGCTTTCCTGATGGCCAGTGGTTGCTTCAATTTGTTTTCTGAGTGCCCTGGAGGCCCTAATCCCAGCGCGCTTCACGAGAGCGCGCCGCACACCTTGGACAGCATGTGAGCTCACCCGGGAATCTGTTTCTTGGGAACTTGGCAGACCTGCCGGGATGGCACAGACAGGGCTGTTCAATCCGCGAGCCTTTACCTTGCGCTGTGTTGGCATTGCCGCCTTCTGTAGCTTCACAACAACAGCGAATAAATTGTCCTAGCGCCCAATACGTGTTCTTCAGTATTACTCGTACTACTACCGCTGCTCCTCATGCTCCTACTACGACGACGACTACTACTACAACTAACTACTACTACTACTACTACTACTACTACCACTACCACAACAATAACTACTACTACTAGTACTACTACTACTACTACTACTACTACTACTACTACTACCACTACAACAACAACTACTACTACTACTACTACTACTACTACTACTACTACTACTACTACTACTACTACTACTACTACTACTACTACTACTACTACTACTACTACTACTACTACTACTACTACTACTACTACTACTACTACTACTACTACTACTACTATACTACTTCCTACTGCTACTGCTACCTACTGCTGCTACTGCTACTACTGCTACTGCTGCTGCTACTGCTGCTGCTACTGCTATGCTACTGCTACTGCTACTGCTACTGCTACTGCTACTGCTAACTGCTACTGCTACTGCTACTGCTACTGCTACTGCTAATGCTGCTGCTGCTTACTGCTCTGCTTGCTACTGTACTGCTACTGCTACTGCTACTGCTGCTACTGCTACTGCTACTGCTACTGCTACTGCTACTGCTACTGCTACTGCTACTGCTGCTGCTGCTGCTGCTGCTGCTACTGCTACTGCTACTGCTACTGCTACTGCTACTGCTACTGCTACTGCTACTGCTACTGCTGCTTGCTGCTGCTACTGCTACTGCTGCTGCTGCTGCTGCTGCTACTACTGCTATGCTGCTGCTTGCTGCTGTAACTGCTACTGCTACGCTACTTACTGCTACTGCTGCTGCTGCTGCTGCTACTGCTACTGCTACTGCTGCTACGACGACGACTACTACTGCTGCTGCTGCCACTACTACTCTTCCCAGTACTACTGCCACCAGTGCCAGTAAGACTAGCCTTTATCTCAACCTTGTAGGTACGCGGGCTTCGAGAGTTTAGAGCTGCTCCAGAAGATGCGCGGCCGGACCAACACCCTCGGCCAGGGACCCAGCCGAGCCGCGGGCTCCTTTAATGGATCTTTTTGAGGAGTCTATAAGGGTTATGGCAAGGGTTATACTATAAGGGTACTGCTTTAGGGTTAAGAGCGTACGTCTATGGGATGTTGTTTCTTGCTTTATGTATAGGCTGTGCAGCGTCTAAAAGCTTTCATGTTTTGTTCAGGGGGGTTGGGGAAGTCCTGTTCATCCTGCTTTATGATACTTTAGTCTGCGTTGGAGAGACCTTGTTCCGAAGACTCCCTGTTGTCGTTTTCCTTTCTCAGGCTCTTAGATGCTCATAGCCTTGGTTTGTGTCGACAGTGTTGGGGTCTGTAACAACTGAAGTCAGCGTTTCTCCGGCTTAGAACAGTGCCACGAGTCATAAGTCCGATCACCAGCAGTAGAAGCCTTCATAGCAAGAAGAGAGTGCTGGCTTTGGCGACAGTGCTGTCGGTCGGACATGAAGTTAACTCGGAAGCTGTCTCTTTGAACTACGGCGCCGGCACGAACGCGCAGCTGCGCCGCCTCAGAATCACAGTACCCGACGCTTATAATCCGTAGTACAGTGGAACAGTGGACGCATTCGGTCGAGAAGGTGCAGGCTGTAGAAGCTGAGACCCACTCCTCTTCGGGAAGAGCCAAGTATGTGGTATCGCCGCATGCCAGTACCGTAAGTTGGTAGTCATAGCGGTAACGCAGCGACATTCCCAGTTTCTAAGTTTCCCCTATCTGCATGACCTTTACAAGATCCTTTGTAGTGCGGTGCCATGGATCTGGCCTCGTCTTCGGCCGTTGCGGCCGGCATGGAACAAGATTGCAAAGGCCGACGTTCTACAAGTTGTTTATTTTGGCTTTATGGATGATGCTGTAGTCAGTAGAAGAGATAGCCTTGTCATAATCATAAACATATCATAACCACAACGGCAACAAACACAAAATCTACGACAATGGCGCTACTGCTACTAGCAATGATCTTAAAGTGATAGCCATCGCGAAGCACTAAGCATCAACATTAGCGACTGGAGGTGCAGCTGTGAAGCAAGCTTGCCTGGAGTCTTTGTATACCAAGCTTGCGATGTGGCGGCTCGAAGCATGCGCTCCGAATCCGAAGTCGGTGCAGCCACCTCGCGCTTTGGAACATGCACCGGAGCTCTTTGCGTGATGGGTTTGCCGGTCGAGCGCGCTTTCCAACTTACAAGTCGTATGTGAGGGGAGTCTGGGCTTTTATTCACACCCCATGCCATCCGCAAGGCACCGGCGAGTTTCTATGCAATGGTGGAGAGCCGGCCGAAGAGTCTTCAGGCTGGCGACGATTACTTTGGTGGCACGGCGCTAGTATCACTGTTTGTTTTTCCGTGTCTCTCTTGCTCTCTCTCCGCTCCCTTCTGTCTCTTGAGCTCTGTTTTGTTTGAGCAGTTTCATTCCGAACCGTTTTCGCGGTTTTTGCTTCTCTACGGCCCTCAAGCATGTACGAATCTAGTTGGCATCTCTGGTGCTCCGTGCATGTTTAGGTTCTCCTCTTGAGTTTACAATCTCTGAGATTTCGTCCAGAGAAAACGAGAGAGAGAGAGAGAGACAGAGAGAGAGAGGGACCTACCGAGGTTCCTGATCTTGTTTCGCCTCTTGTCATAGTCGTGCTACATTGAGTTTGAACAAGATAGGCGAGACGAGGGGGCGAAAACTCCACTGACAGGACTCCAAGTGACAATCTCCACTCTGGCCGGAAGTACAGCTGCCGAGCTTGCTGTCTGAATCCAGTTGATACCCATTGAGTGATTCCCATAGCCCATTATAACATGACGAGAGGCCACGACTAGTCGTGGCTTAACACGCTTGTGAGTGCCCTTTTGCTTGAGGGCTGATCTTGAGGAGTGATGCACCCGAATAGTATGCACAGACATACTGTAATAGTAAAGCTAGAAAGGGAACAACCAACCCCTTACTACTCCGTGCATATACAATAGTATGAATGGGCAGATCCAAAAAAGGAAGCTGAAAGCTTTCTCTCTCTGCCCCTCTTTCTCTCTCTCTCTCTCTCTCTCTCTCTCTCTCTCTCTCTCTCTCTCTCTCTCTCTCTCTCTATACATATGTATGTAAGTATGATTAAGGCATTTAGTTATGTCTGTATGTATGCAGGTATGTATGTCTGTATGTATGTGTGTGTGTGTTTGTATGTGTATATGTATATGTGTATGTATCTGTATATGCATATGTGCATACTTGTAGGTGTGTCTATGCGTATGTGTATGTGCATGCATATGTGCAGGTGCGTAGGTGTGTAGGTCTGTATATGTGTGTGTGTATGTCTGTATGTGTATATATGCATGTATGTATGCAAGCATGTATGTCTGTAAGCATGTATGTACGTGTGTTTGTGTGACCTGTGTGCAATTACTTAAGTGTTAATGTGATTGTCCGTAGGGATGTACATCTGCAAATATGCCCATTGAGACACTGAGAAAGAAAACTGTTTGCACAGATCAGTGCAGCTCACAAATCCAAAGCAGGTGCGGGTGCTTCTGGTCTAACTCCATATTCTGGCGACTTGTAGCTCTTTCTTGTTGAGATCCTGTATATCTCCAACTGCCAGTCAGAAGAAAGAAGCGCGTGCTTCAAGCAAACTGCAGCACTTTAGCTGATTTGTGGGTCAGCCAGTCAGCATACAGTACAAGGTAACAGGATTGCGTAGACCAGTGCCTCAAACTTGTACCAGCAAGGTAGTACAACAGCAGAGCTTCCCTAAGTTTGCTCGGGCGTGCCCAGACAGTACATTGTCAGGTCCCTGTGAAATACAATCATGCATAATGTACATAACTGAGTTCGACGAATCCACCTAGAGCAGTCCTCCCACCCTCCTTAGCAGCCTTAGCACTTACGTCGTCGAGGAATGCAGGAAGCAAGTAACATATGTAAGCCCGAAGCCCAAACCGGTCCCACACTGTGATGCGAGGCTACAGGTGAAGCCTTCTGACACTGTGCTCAGCCTGAAGCAGCTGCTCTGGGTCAGGAGACCTTGTTTTGAAATAATGGCTCGCAGAAAAGAGGCTTTCTCCTGCAGCAGCTGGTATCCAGGATGACCACCTGCTTTGTGCGTGTGTATGCGTGTGTGGGTGGGTGGGTGGGTGTGTGGCCTTCCTGTTGGGTGGTCATTGTGTTACGAGTTTGCGTTTACTTCGCCGTTGGGTCTGCTACTGCCTCGTCGGCGTAGCTGTTACTCGGTCTTAAGGCGACTTGTGGATCCTTGATCCTGAATCGTGCTGTGTGCGAGACGTGAGAGTCGAAACCGTCAGCCAAACCCTAAAGTTCCTAAAGCTAACTGTCCCTAAACCCTATATAAACCCTGGAGGACAGGCACCGAAGTGGCAAAGCAGCGCCTGATCCTTGGGGAGACGGAGCTGGAGACTGCGGCCATGTTTGGTTTTGGGTCTAGGGGTTTAGAGCTTAGGGGCTAGGGCTAAGGTTTGGTTTCGAGCTTCAGGATCCACAGCTTTTCCGAGTTTACGGAGGGTCCTGTGGGGGCTGTTGAAGATTTGTGGCCAGGGGCGAAAAGGCTGCAGGACAGAAGTTTCAGAGATGTAAGGGTTATGTTTTGGGGGATTTGAGGGATTTTGGTCTCGGGCTTTGGCTGCAGGACTCAGGATTATGCCATGCAGAGGCTTGGGGCTTGTGTGTTAATCAGTGCATAGAATGGTTATGGCAAGAAATCCAGAGACACCCATGATTCTGGTTTATGTAATTATTCGCAGAATCGTAGAGCATACGATGGAGACCTTCAGCGTTATGGTTGCTGTTGTACTCTCTCCGGGCTCTGGTTTTCGGGCAGAAGGTTTATCTAAATGAGGAAGTCTTCCCATCCAGATCTCTTCGGGTTGCGTGGGGATGCAGTGTAGACCACTTCGGCCTAGTACAGATCCTGTCGGATGTAGATACCTGGTAGTAGTTTGTGTCAAAGTTCATAAGGAAGCAGAGTAGTAGCCACACCGTGGAGCAGACTATGAAATACCGTACTGTCAGCACCGGATACACACACACACACACCCTGCCACTGAACAAGGAAGACGTGCAGACCATGGAGCAGTGCAAGGTTGCTGACGGCGCAAAGCTTTGCTTGGTCTGTGTGCCCACTGCAGAGGACCAACAGAACAGAATGGAGGCAGGGGCTTTGATCGTCAGAGGCCACTCACTAAATTTTGCGACGGAGACACTAACTGCAAAGCTGACAACATGTTTTTCTTCACATAGGCTCCCTGGTCATGTTGTCGGCCAGCAGCCTTCCCCCTCAATCTTCAACATCTTCTTGGTCCTGGAGCACTCCCAGTTGGGATCATGAATTGGCGCAAGAGCGATGCTAGAACAACGCATATGCATGCACTCCGCCCCGAAACCTTCCTGCGCGAATTTGAACGGCAAGAACAAAGCTAAAGCCCCAAGCTATACTTCATGGCCCCAAAGTCCAAGCAGGTGATTGTGCGCTGCCGTCCTCCCCGCGCTAGAGATGTGGAGATTGGGTCCCGCAGAGTCGTCGAAGCTCCTCGGATGGCTTCCTCAGGGAATTGAGCCTTGAGGAATTAGGTTAATACAGGGGCATAGATAATGTCCAATACTGTGCTATTTTGGCATTGGGGTTTCCTTATTATATTTATTCAGAGTATAATGGGCACCAAAACCCTATTCTAATCACTGATCAATTCGGTTACGGGTTTGGAGATCAGGGTTTAGGCGGAAGAGCGGCAAACTACCAGGCGTCCTTGCGTGCAAGCCTGCAGCAAAAAGGGGATAGATGTGACTGCTGCCAAGCCCGGATAGGTCGACGGATCCCGTGGCGACGTCAGTGTGGCTGATGTCGGCGACGGGCCGCCTAGGACCGAACCATGCTCCTGTGTGGGGTCTGAAACTTTGGGTTAGTTTTTTGGGATGTCTGTGTAATGACATTGTCAGAGGCCCGTTCTTTCTGTTTCGAGTGGCTTGCCCAGGTGTAGGCTCCGAGTTTGAACGTGGAGCATGCTGAGAGAAGGGATCGCCCGTCGTCGCCTGTGTTTCTTTTTGCTTTGTTTCGTTGTCTCCGGGTAGTAGTTGCTGACTGTAATAGTAGTAGTAGTAGTAGTAGTAGTAGTAGTAGTAGTAGTAGTAGTAGTAGTAGTAGTGGTAGTGGTAGTGGTAGTGGTAGTGGTAGTGGTAGTGGTAGTGGTAGTGGTCGTGGTAGTGGTAGTGGTAGTGGTGGTAGTGGTAGTGGTAGTGGTAGTGGTAGTGGTAGTGGTAGTGGTAGTGGTAGTGGTAGTGGTAGTAGTGGTAGCAGTGGGAGTAAGAGTAGAAATAGGAGTTGGAGTAGGAGATGGTGGTGCTGATGGTGGTGTTGCTGGTGTTGCTGTTGTTGCTCTTCGTGTGTTTGATCTTGTTGCTGGTGTTGTTCCTCATCATTGTTGTTGTTGTTGTTGGTGGTGGTGGTGGTGGTGCTAGTCTTGTTGGGGGCTTCTTGTTCTTGTTGTTGTTGGTGGTGCTGGTGTTGCAGTTGTTGCCACTGTTTTTTGTTGTTGGTAGTTGGTAGTCTGACGTTGGTTGTTGGTTGTGGTTGTTGTTGGGTCTCTTTCGTGTTGGGCGCGTGTGTGTTCACTGGTACTTGTTTGGTGTTCTTGTGTTTGTTTGGCTGGTTGCGAGCTAGTTTGCTTGGGTGTTATGCACTGCTTCCTGATTGAAAGCATGTGACTGTATGTGGTTTGTTTATCTGACTGATTGAATGATTGATTGCTTCTCTGGGGCCAGGGATCTTGAATCCGAAGTCCGTATGGCAGGACCTTCACGTTCCAGACAGTTCTGGATGACACCGCGAAGCAAAGCGAGGCCCCGGCTCGAAGGCTTTCACGTGGCAAGACTGTAAATAAGCGTCTGTCTATCTAGATTCTAGGCACACGTCACGAGGCTGTAGATGTGTAACTTTGCATATGTGTGCATATGAACTTTAAAATATACTTTGTTTGCTGAGTGCCTTGGCACAGGGCCACGTGGTTTGGGCCCGTCCGTTATATTTCCCCCCAGCCAGCTGCAGCATGCTGGAGCTCTCTGAAATGCCCTTGTGACAAAGAGCAAGCTTTTCCCACAACACCAAAACCCTGAAGTTCATCGATGCCATCTACAGTGCCTCAGTCTCCAAAGGCCGTTATCTATGCATTGAAACGGATCCCTGCCAAATATGATGTGTGGGCTGCTTGCCACGAGACTCTCGAGTTTTTTGAGGAGCCATGAAGAGTCCCAGCTCCGAGCCACGTTGCGCATTGTTGGTGGCTGGAAACCTGTGCATGAGTTGGTTTCAGACTTTCGCAAGTCGTTCGTTTGTCCGGAGTTCGATCGAATTCTTAGTTCGGTGAGACCCCTGGCGCGACTATTGACTAATCACTAGTGGAAACCTGGACATGTGCCGATGCCCCTAGACTATTGAAGCTTTGGCCTTTAACTATAAGCCTTGGACCTAGCAGACCTAGCACACATGAAGCCTCGCCGTTTGTGTGAGCGTGTGAGAGAGTGAGTGAGTGTGCAACTCCTCGTAGCCGTCGTAGCCTGCGACAAGAGCACATCAGACGCACCAATGCCCCAAACCAAATCTTACGTGCAAGTGCCTGCGCATCCAAATTCAACAACTCATGCAGTCAAGCTTCAAAGAAAACCTGTGCAACCCAAGCCCGCCGGAAAGCCTTCAACCCGGCAAGAAACACGAAACATGCCAACCTGAATCACAAAGTCTTATATAAAAGCTCTGAACACATTTTACCTGCCCGGAGGTGTACAAGACGGTTGGCCGCGATGCCTTGCAGACGGAATCTCGTCAAGACAGCGGCCTCATTCCCAAGTCAAGGTACTGACCGGCGTCGATTCAATGCACATACCATATAAATAACAATAGTTATACAATCTAGCATAGAAACTGAGTGAGGGTTCTTTGCCAGAAGTGTGAAAACCCTTAAACCATCCTTAAACCCATTTTGACGAAGCCCAAAAAGCGCCAGCTTCAACGCATTTGCTCAGGTCCTCGAGGGCTACAGCACCACCATCTTCGCGTACGGCCAGACCGGGTCCGGGAAGTCCCACACCCTGCTACTTGGCTGACAGCTTTTGGCAAAGGTCTCTACTAGGGATGTACGGTGACGTGTTGTGCGGCTCTTTACATCTGAGCCGCACACCAAGGTCTTTACACACCCAGGTTAACCGAGTCTTCACAAGGAATGTAGATGTTCTTCGTAGCTTTGGCTTCCAACATCTGGTCAGTCAGGTTTGGAGGCGGCCTCGCTGAGCCGGCACAGGCGCACGCCGGGAAGAACAAAGACTACATACGGTGTTTTACTATACTATGACTATATCTATATGATAACTTAGCTATATTACAGCTATAACTACATTCTAACTACAGTATACTATACTATACTTACTATACTATAATAGTTTTTGGAGGCTCTAGAGACCACGCCATGAGTCGGCAATACATACCACACAGACATTCAGCTTACAAGGCACAGGATCCGACGAAGCCATGTAAAGGTTTTCATTTTCCTGTTTTGCGGTGGGCAGTTTATGTTTGACGCATCCGTGCGGGTTTGGTGTTTGTTTTGGGCCACTCATGGCTCAAATGGAGGCTGGTGACTCAGACTCAAGGAAGGAGTCTGAAAGGTCGTGTCCGAATCGGAGCCGACTGTCTTGAAGAGATCGAACGTCCTTGCGAGATTTTGCGGAGTTGCCTTGATTTTGTAATCTTCGGTCGGAATCACCACAGGAGGAGGAGGGCCTTGCGCCGAGACTCTTCCGACAGCTCTTCCAAATCACTGAGACTTTGCCTACGATGTGCCGGAGCCTGATTTCTTCGGGTGGGATACTTCAGAGTGTGTCATGAACCACACAGCATTATTCGTAGAGTTCGAGGGCCTCCGTCAATCAAGCCTAGCAAGCTGCTTTCGCTTGCATGACAGTCGCAACCATGCTCGCCTGGTGCGATCGAGTGTGAGTGTGAACTATATAGTAATCGTACTCAGCACCTCTGCTTCTTTCACCTCCTTTGCATGGCTGCTTGGCCTAGTCCAAGCTTCGACGCTCGGAAATTCCACTAGTTTCCGCAGTTCGAAATTCATAGCAGAGTGTGTCGATGTCGGTTTGCCGTGCCGGATCTTTCGAGTTCACCAGCATCTTCTACAAATGGGCATACTAGTAAGGATAGTAATGATAACAATAATAAGACTATCTGCATTGCTCACATGTACTTGCGTTGATTGGAGCCATCAAGCTCTCAGTCACAGCCGCTTTGCCAGCTATATAACAAAAGTTCGCCCGCTGACCTGGCACAGTGGACTACCCTAGCCGAGACATCCTCAGAATGTGCTATGCCAGCTTGGCAGCACTATGTCGCAAAGCTACTCAGGCAGTGGAGAATCAGCTGCGCCATGCTGCAGATCTACATGGAGGACGCCCCCACATCAGGAATATCCCACGCCCACGCCGACTTGCCCCCTTGTCCAGAATCAGGTGTTTAAAAGTACCAGGGGTCCTCGAGGCGTTGTAATCTTAGAAGGTAAAGTTGTTCAACGCTCTGAAACCAATGCAAAGCTGAAATGTGCAGACTTGCAGGAAGTGGTGGACCTGCTGTCCCCCAATCCTCGCAAGACGAAGAAGGTGCGGGAAGCTCACAGCAGGGGCGGCGTCTACGTGGAGGAGGGCACCGACATCGAGGCTGAAGTTGTCCTAACTCGAGGCTAGTGCGGAGACCGCCTACGGCAAGCACTTTGTATGCGTGTTGCCATTCTTACTGCCTGTTCTGCAGCCACGCGTTGAGTATTCGGTTTATATTGGGTGTACTGATTGGCAGCTTTGGGACGCAGGTCCGATCGTTGGCGGAGCTGAATGAGGCATCTACAGGGATCTCCATGAATGATGGGAACTTCACGTTTCTTGCAGGTGAGTGCTTCAGATACATGGTTTATTCGGCACCCGCTTGCCTGTGCAACATGTGGAAGAGTCCTATACTTTCGTTCGCGAACCCCACCGCGAACCACGACTCGTTTTGGAGTAATCTGAAGAAGTGGCATCTTTTTACTCGGTATTTACAGCACTTTCATGATGTCGTAGTCCAATACCGACCACATCTGTTGAGCACCATTGCTGCGTGCGGGGTGGTGAGAGTGGGGGGGAGAGAGAGATCGGGGGGCACGTACTTTTGAAGCACATCGATTTTCTCGGTATTGACAAGACTTTCACTACTAACACTACGAGTAGCTGTACTGCTACTGCTTTGCAATGCACTTTGCAACCAGTGCTTCTCATAGCACCATTAATTACCAATCACAGCTCTGTGCACAGGTGCTGAAGATCGGCTTTGCGAAAGATGCCGAGCTCCCGCGGAGTCCCAGCAAGAAGGCAGGGGCTGCAGGGCATTAGCAGCTCTGCAGACGACTTGCAGCAGACCTCGTTACCGGTTTGAAGTGGCTTCAAGCCCTGATGCTTAAAACAACACGTCAGGCAGTTGGAGTGCTAGCCTTCTCAGCTGTCGTAGTATTTCACCCCGACAGTGCTTTGCTTCGAATAGTCGTGGTCAGAGCGCATTTAGGCTTCGGTGGGACACATGGAGACATGCCGGACACAGCTTCCCAAAGTGGGATCTGCACCATTCCGTTTTGATTCTCTGGGCATAGACTTTCGAGATGGCATGATGCGTGGTAGCACCGACATGCCAACGGAGACTGTACTTCACAGGACCTGGTAATTGCTCTGACGGTGCGAAGTCAAGATTTGGGCGGCCAAGTGCTCATACGGAAGCTTCAGTGTGAGCCTCGTCAGGCAAGAAGAAGATAGCTTCAGAACGTAAACGGGTGTCCCAGTTGCTGAGCAAGGACTCCTGTCTTGTAGCTCACACTTCGAATTCTGATTCACCTCATTGGCAGCCTTGTCTTCTTGTCAGCAGCATCGAACACGACAAGTTTGTAGACTCTTCGTTCGTGGTGTCCCCAAGCACCGTTTCTGTTTGGGCAGCTCTGTGCGAGTAAGCCTTTGCCAGCTCCAGTTTGTGGGCTAGGGTTGTACAGTGGTTGCAAACAAACCCGAGGCGAACCTCCTCGTCAGGGATGATCTTGACTTCCTATCAACGCCCCTGCAGAGGGACAGAAACGGCCCCCATCTACGAGTTTGCCCTTCTGTGCACCACGGTAATGAAATGCCCGGCGAAGCAGGTTGCAGAAGCTTCAGTTTCTTGAGATGGTTGAGGTGCCTCGTGTGGGCTCATTGCCAGGTCTCTGTTTCGCCGAGTTGCTGCTGAGGTTGAGTGCCGAGGCAGCGAGAAGTTGTCCAAGGTGGCGGTCACCGGAGATGCTCTTCGCGATGCCTGGCTCTACAAATTCAGGAAGCTTTGAGGATCGGTGGATGGCACGTGGCATTCGAATGAGGAGTCCTACTAAATTATAACAGTTCGAGGTTTTACAGTTGTTTGCTGCCCTAGCTGGCAGATGGTGCTACTGATGTACAAGTTCCTACGGTTTGCCGAAGTCGTCGTTGCGTAGTTGGGAGGTACTGTGTGCCACCTTCTGAACCAGATCAGTTTGCACATTGCCATGGCATGTCACTGTGTGACGCTAGAAGCGTTCTCGGCATCCCAGTCATAAGCAGTTTCTGGACGCTCAGCTGGATCGCCGCACGCTGTACTTGTGAGGAAGCAGCCCATTTCAACAGGAACTCCTTGTGCACCGCCACTTGTCGCAACAGCCAGCTAAACGTGCAGAGCCAAAAGCAGTGAAACGCTGTTAAGCCTTAGCAGCCTTAGCAATCCGCGGGCCAGTGTTGTCAGCGTCATGGGCCGAACGTTCTGGCCCGTAGCGCAAGGTAGTGGCATCATCATTTTTGACTGCTGTATTTGCATGTTTTTCATTTTGTTCAGTGTTGCTGTCATGCTTTTTCCGCGACATTCAATGCCTCGGGTTGATTTTTCTGCAAAAAGCACTGCAAATGTCCACTACCCTGCAATCTCAGGTCCTCGATGCCCTTTCTTCGGCGCGCCCGGTGGTTCCTCGCCTGCCTCCGTGTGAAGCGCCCTCCGCCACAGAGCCCTCCAACCCCCTCGTTCCGAAGGACCGACTTACTTGACTGCCGTGAATAGCAAGGTCAAATTGAGGCGAATCGCAGCTGAGGTGCCATACCGAGATGGCAAGTTGACAAGACTTCTCGCCGACTCACTGGGTGGGCAGACACGCACGACGCTTTGCATAAAGGGAGTTCCTGAAAGCTCCGCCCGAACCACGACACCCCTCCAGCCAAAGTTCAATCGCCGCCCAAACTCCAATTTCATGCTTTTCGGGTGCACTTCTACAGGCCGTGTCAGCTTTGGTCTGGTTTTGAATGTCGAGAAAGCAAGTGCGAATGATCAGTAGACCGCCGATTCGGCGTGAGGCAGAATGCATGTATCAGATTGTGGTAAGGATGCTGGTACGTGCCACTGTCATCGTTCAGCAGGAAAGTCAATGCTCCGTCTGATGTTTTAGCAAGATTGCAGGCCCTTGAACTTTGATGTCAAGTGGTGGAGCTGTGCTAAGGATATGGATTGCGCAGATACTCCCCGGGGCTCACGAGCACAGCGAGACTTTGTCAACACTGCGATTGGCGAATCGGGTGAAACAAATCGTGAACAAGCCTCTCGCAGTCTGTCCTGAACCGCCTGATCCGCTCCCATGCGTTCCCTTCTCTGAAGCCGCATGGCTGCGCCTGTGATGGCTGCGCATCGAAAAGAAGAGAGTGAACCACGGCGGCTAACCTTGACCTTTGCGTGAGGGCGATTGAGATCCCCACAATGGCTTCTCCATGATTCTCCTATATAACAGTTCCTAGCAACCAAGGTATTTGTTCCTTCTGCCCTTGCTTGATGGAGGGTTGTTCAATTAAGAATTACAAGTTTGGGGCAAGGTTATATGGTTTAGGGCTAGTAGGGGTGTAGGCTTCCGGGCCCTACAGGAAGGGAGTAGTGAGTAGGTCAACTGAACCGTAAACGCCAAGGGCCAGCCGCCGTTTGACTTCCCGTTGCTGACACCGCCCACGGACAAGAGCTGCAGCACGATACCCCAAAAAGTCAGTGCTAAACAACAAGGCCCCTCCCAGACACAGGGTTTGTCAAACTTCTGGTGACAGATGGCATCGGCTTCCTGCTGTTCCTCTTGACAACTTGCTTTCATCTTCATGTAGGTATAAGCAGAGCGCAATTCATGAGGCCATAACCTTCTGGACCAGTCATCCTCGGAAGCCAAAGCCGCCACTCGCGGGGAGCTCAAGTTTGTGGTCAAGACGGTGGCAGTTCGGAAGACGGATCCGCCATTGTCAAAAAGCTACTTCTCCCATATGCCCTAAACTCTACGAAGGTGCCGAGCCCACGTTGACCGCACTGGCTGCGGCGGCGGCCGTTGCCACGGCCGCGGTGTCCACGGCCGCGGAGCAGGGGGCCCAGGCTTCAGAATCTGAGAGGTGCCAGCCTTAGAGTTTGGGGATTGCAGAGGTCAACTACACCTTTCCGCTGCCTCCTTCTGCTAAGCGCTCCAGGAAATTATGAATCAGGGCTTCTTGGTGAGACTTTCTAATTTCACGAATAAGCATGAAGATGACGATGCACACTATATGCAGTCGGCTCGCCAAAGGCTCGTGTTTCGCAAGATTTCCCAAGTGGTGTATTGCGTTTTACTTCTATGAACAGTATACATGTGCGACTAGCAAGGACTAGCAATGTCGTTGAAGGAGAAGCATACCTGTTTTCATTCTTTTCCACCATGGAATGCAGACACATTGAACTGATTCTCTCTGCCTAGAGGCGCTTAAGATGAGGAGGGAACTCCAAGCAGTGGGATACCCCAGTGTATCCACTTCAGCTTAATCGAAGGAGCTGTCTGCCTCCATCTGAAACATGATCATGGGATGTTCATCCACTGACCCCCCATGTCATAAGCATCCCGTGACCCGACCATAAACCTTAAGCCACTCGGCCCCCTAGACCAACAATGACAGCAGTAACATGCACCAAAACTGAACCACATGCCAAAACTCAAAAAAACGTGTAGTTACCCATACTGGCAACGAAACCACGACAAAAAGCACTGTTCCAAGGCTCACGCCCGGCACCTCCAATGCCCCAGCTGCGGTGGCAGGCTGCCTCCGTCCCCTTCTTGGGATTTGGGGCTTCTTCTGTGAGGGCTTACGGGTTGGGGGCGTGCAAAAAGGGCTCATGTGTAAACAAAAGGGTTGACAAAAGGGTTGAGAGGCTGGGGTGAATAGCTTTGAGGTTTCGGGCTGGGTGTTTTGCGGAACGGTGCAGCTTCTGCTGACTGATTTGGCTAGTTGATCTCCGTTTTGTTCCGGTGCAGATGGAAGCTTTCAAGCGAGCGGGCGCTGTCTCTAAACTTTATCATCACCTGTATAGTCTTTACTGCACGACTTTCACGTGGCATTCAGAAAGAGGCCCGTTGCACGCTCCGGCTGCAGCACCCAGCGTGCCGCACGCAGAAGGCTGGAACCCTCAGACTCCGCCCCACTGTCCGACCGATGGGAACGGCAGAGAGATCTTCAGGCTATCTCGATTGAACATGTAGTATTTTTCCATGGTCATACTACTTCAGCAGCGGTTTGGGGGGCGCACGTTTTGGGATTCCAGTTGTTGGCTTTAACTTGCCGAAGGCCAAGACTGCAAAATATGCGCCCGCACTTGGAAAGAAATGGGTTGTTGCGAGCCTCGGAATATTTTGCAAAACAGCTTGTCGGCCTGGGCCCATCGGTGCCGTGACATGGCTATCAACTATCATGCGCCTCGTCCCCACTCACGCGTCAACATACCGGAGGGGGGCAATGCAATGCAGTTTGCCTTTGAGGAGTACCCCAGGCTATCAGCCGCATTCCTACGGCTTCGGATTCGATTTCTCAGCTCTGAAACGATCCCAGTTTTTGAGGGTCGAGCCCCTGGCGCTTGAATCCAGATGTTTCATGCACTGCAAATCTCATCGCAAGGTTCGGCAGTCGATCTGGCGGCGCGGTGTGTCGTGGGCAGCGCAGAGGACTTGACATCTTCAGCTCCCGCGGCATAGCACTGAATTCGCATCCGAGCAAGGTTTCTTCTACATAGGCAGGGTTTAGGGTTTAGGGCAGAGTCTAGAGGGGATGTGATATGGCTCGGAGCTTTGGTTCTTGTCGGCACTCCGACGCTCGCACTTCGCACAATCCCCGGTGCCGTTTTGGCTGCACCTTGGCCGTTTCTCCGCAAGACATATATGATGGAATATGTGGGGAACGGAAAACCCATGATACTTTGCAGAGTTTAGCAATTTCAGCATAAGCTCGTGGCGACGACTTGATTAGCCTGACTAGCCCGTAAGAACCATGTACAGGTGCACTTGTGAATCCGTAGCCTCTGTAGCCTGTACCTGTACATTGCAGACTAGACCCTGCCTCGGGCTTTATGCTGTGCTATGGCCACGGCGCTCGAGGGGTTCGTGGATGAGTCGCTGATTCTTCTGTCCCCTTGGCTGAACTTGTTCTCGTTCCAAACTCCTGACCGTCTTGGCACCCCATATCTCGGCTAATCCTAGAGCCTTCCCTTCACTACCAACAGCTCCATGCTACATCTGGGTTCTTCATCGGGAAGAAAACGAGATATTGAGTTTCGGTGTGCTTCCGAGGTCTAGAAGAGTTTGGAGTAGAAGGCCGCTTGAAGTGACGCGATCTTGCTGAGTGCCAGGCTCGGCAATCTCCGTGCCCAGGACTCCTGTTGCACTGCAGCTTTCGGTGATTTGTAGGGCGCCAGGCTGCAGACTGGCATGGAAACGCTGAGCAATGAGAAGCCACCACAACAAAAGCAACATCGAAGAAAATATGGACTGGCCACGACACAAGACCAGACCATCGCCGCCAAACCTATCCAGGAGATAGCAGCAGTCGCTGCCACTGGTTCGCGTCTCCGCAGCGTCGCCGTATCAAACCCAGCTACCTGGCACCATCCTTGTCTGATCCCGTGACTTGCAAGGACGAATCGTAAGTGGGTCGGTCGGAACTGTATGATGGGACCTTTTTCGGAAACGGGTGCTCGCCATGGGTTAGTCTTCTGTGTGAGGTCTGCACGGTGGCTTTTGGCACCCACACGGCTCAGCAGAGCTTGAGGGCAACCCCGCTCGCTTTGCCGTTGAACACCTAGAAGCTAGAAGTGCCCGGGTCGCGGCCTATTCCCGCAAGGTCTGGGACGGTCTTTGCGGAGCACTTTGGCAGGGCCGTGCAGTTCTTCACCGGTTCACGGAGCTGCGGCGCAGCGACGCCAGCATCACTGCAGCAATCATACATACTTGTTGCCGCCCTGTCGGAGAGCTCACTCTAAGCCTAAAGCCCAAATTACTTTGTTAAGTCGGAAATCCAGCACCTTATGGTCTGCAGTGCTTCTGGCTTTTGCAAACCTGTGTGTCCTGCACGACATCGTTAGAAGCTTGAAGCGGGTCCGAAACACAACTCAAAAATGAATCCTAAAGTCCTAAATCTACAAAGCCCTACACCCTGTGTTGCTCCGGACGATCACCCTGAAAGCCGTAGGCCTGATACCACAAAGAAAGACTAAGAGGTCTGTATAGTTACCCTAAGCCCCTAAACCTTAAAACCCTAACTCCACGCCTGGCATGTCCGAGTTGTGAGAGCGTAACTATGTGGAGCCTTGCCTGCCTTGTGCGAGAGTGAGCGTCGAAATCCCTAACACCCTAAACCCTGAAACCCCAAAACACTGGTAAGTCCAGCAGCCCCGGTGTTAAACTTGCCTTCGAGAAGCTGCTGTGGGAGGGGAGTCTCTGGAACCTTTTGTTTGAAATCTTCCAGGTCAGAGCGGGGAGAAGAGAACATAAGCAGACAAGTAGATGTGGATATACCTTGCAGCTCTTATGTACTTGTTGCTTGGTTTGTGTCCTTTGTTGGGCTATGGTTTCTTTTGGATGGAGCGCCAAAATGAATGTCCTTACTCTTTCAGCGAAGTAGAGTCTGAGTAGAGCATAGAAAAGGCTTATAGGCATGAGTATACATATAGAAAGCACAAAGCTTGCATAAACACTATGAGATATACTGATATAACATATACACCACCACACATACATACAAATCAATAACTGCCTGCATGAGTTGAATCTCATTGCTGCGAAGTTTGGGCAGCTCAGGAGAAGCTTATCGGATGCCTGGCTGCACTTGACCTGAACCGTAGCAGTGCGGTACCTGCAGCACTGAAGAATGGGAAACGCTCAGCAGCAAACGTGGTCATCCGTCACACGCGCGTACTCTGGCTTTCGTTGTTACTTAGAAGCCCGATCCGGTGGAGTGTTTTCCAACCGCTTCTCCGACAACGGGACGGCAGCTGCCGTTGCCGATAACTAAGGCAATCTCTGGAAGATTCGCGCCGAACGAACATCACAAGAGGCAGGCAAGCAATATGATAAAAACATGATTCTCCTTTTTACATTCATGCTCGATTATACATGTGGGTTTCAACTCTCCGTGGTTGCCCACAAGCTGGACGCAACGCCTGGAAGAGACTGGGTTTTGGCTCACGGGGGGGGTCGATGCTTTCGATCTCGAAGGCCCTGCATTGGTTTTTCCGCAAGAGCGACCCCAGGACCCCCGCCGAATTCAGAGGCGTGTGTGAAACCAGCTCAAAGCTGAAACATCCCTAGCACCGTATGCAACGATTGCTCCATTCAGGTATTTGGTTTTAGGGCCTCTGTGCTTCAGGGGTTCTCTCTGAGAGGTTCTAAAGGGGCTCTATACCCGTATATTATCGGAGCATAGACGATGCCACCCTATATCTTATGCTTCTGCAGTTCTGTGGTTGGCATTTTCCCGTAGTGATGCCGGATCAGGCGAGCTCTTGTCCATCGACTGGTCCTTCCGGTTCAAGGCGGCCAACAGTGGGCTTGTCATTCGTTCAGGAGCCAAGGGCTTCACGGTTTTGGTGGCTTAAGCGCAAAGCCCCAAAGCTAAACCATGGACACGAAGTGTAGACCGTAAGCTGTAGAAAGCTCTTACCGAGTCAGAACCACCCTTCGCATGGGGAAGTTCTCTTCTCATTCAGCCTGGCCGGAAGAAAGATGCTTCAGGCCTTCAGGTTGAGGGGGGGCCTAGGTGTTACAGGGCGGAGATGCATGTATAGACATGGACAGGGAGGGAGGGAGCGAGAGAGAGAGAGAGAGAGAGTGTGTGTGTGTACTTTCACCCCCCTCTAAAAACCCGTTAAAAGGCGGGCGGGCCACAGAGCCCGGGGGGCTTAACTCGCCCCTTAAGCCTGGGAGAAGAAGAGAGAGAGATAGAGAATGTATGTATGTCTACATATATATATAATATAATATAATATAATATAATATAAATAAAAATATATATATATATATATATATATATATATGTTCACGTGCGTATACATGCGTATGTTATAGACGGACAGATAGGCGGACTAAGGCAGACCTAGACAGACTTATGTAGACGGATAGACAGACAGACAGACAGACAGAGAGAGACAGACAGACAAACAGACAGAGAGGCAGACAGGCAGAGACTCAGAGACGCAGAGACACAGCGACACAGGGACACAGCGACACAGAGGAGCAGAGAAGCAGAGAGACAGAGAGACAGAGACAGGCAGACAAACAGACAGACCATAAACTATAAGGGCTTAACGAGGCAAAAAAGGAAACGTGAAGTGTTTGAGCCTCCAGTGCTAGCACTGAGGGCGATCGGGATTCTTTCAGTGTCCGTTTTGTCTAGTGTACGGGCTTTACTCACTGTAGATTGCTCAAGGTGGATGTGTTTGCTGCGTCGCGGGTCTGCTGAATAGCCCATCGTGGAAATTTTCGCAGCACTCCGGGACGCCGGGATCTGCTAAGTTACCGACCCAGCCCAGAATTCTGTAGACCTGGCGTTTAAAGCTGAAGCCAGCTGGGGCTGGCATAGCATAGCCCTGACGACATAAGGTCAGGCGAGAGTCAGAACATCGGAACCCCCTGCATCAAATCGAATCCCTAGCCCTAGCCGCGGCAACAGCAATGTCCCTTGATTCGGGCCAAATTTCAGCAAAAGTCTGGACAAGGCTTCGGCCGGTGAGGGCTGGCAAGCTGGGGATCCCTGGTGGCAGGCCCTGCGCGATGCCCATGCGGTTCTCCGCACTGGGTTTGTGGACTTATGGTTGGGTCGTCCAAACAGTAACAATGAAATTTGTGTGATGGGTAGATTCTACTTGCGGCAAAGAAAGACCTGAATAGGCCTTCGGCTTCAGGCTTGGATGAAGCATGTGCTGCTGGTTTCTACAAGACGTTTTAAAAGTGTGCTGCGCAGCGTATGGAGCGGTTTGACGTACCTTCCTCTTGGTCCTATTCATTCATATGTCGGCTGCTGGCCTTGTTCAATAATTTCCTAGCTTAGACCTCTCTGATGATCATGCAAGCTTGTCGTTGGCAGGGCCAGGAGGCAACACGCGTCAGCTGCTCGAACGCAGTAAGAGAGGCCATTGCTTTCGGAGACTTTGTGGGCCGATTTGCAAAGAGAGCAGTGAGGACACGGCATGAGAGGGAATCGCAGAAGCCAAACCAGACCACCAATCTTTCCCAGCCTACCACGGTCAAAACGACGGAAGTCTCTAAACAACACTCAAGGTCCAATCGAACGAATTCTCCTCCAAATCCTCTCCTAGGATTCAAGAAAAATGGACGGGCTGCTTTCAAGAGGGGGCCTCTATTTGGCAGCCGCCCCCCAGTGCTGCGGTGGCGCTTTGTTCGCTTTCCGGCACGCCCTTTGGCACTGTGATTCATCATCATTCGTGTGACTGTCTTCACGCGTGACAGTGAACAAGTACCGACTTTGTGGTTGCTAATGTTATCCAATACAATTACCTCTTGTTTGCGCGTTGGCTGACTGGTACAGGTAGTTGTGTTGGTGATGAGGATTCGGGCCTTCAAGGCTGAGACGAGTAGTACGACTTCTTCGAACAGTCGATGTCATTACGAGCCTGGCCTAGTTAAGGAGTGATTGCAGCGACACTGATGAATTTTGGCTGCGTGGCATGTTGATGCTGATGATTTCCATTATGGTAACTAACGACTGCAAAAGTAGTCGGCGTAGTGAGTTCATTTCGGTCGGTGGCATGAGCCGTGGACCGTGGACATCGTCGTAGAAGTAGTAGTAGAAATCGAAGTGGAAGTGGCAGTAGAAACGGCAGCAGCAGCTGCAGCTGTTGCAGCAGGAGCAGGAGCAGGGGCGCCAGCGGCAGCGGCGGCGGCAGCAGCCGTAGCCGTAGCCTAGCCGTAGACACAGTAGTAGCAGTAGGAGTAGGAGAAGGAGAGGGAGGGAGTGGCAGCAGTAGCAGTAGCAGCAGCAGCCGTAGTCAGCAGTCAGCAGTTAGCAGTAGTCAGTAGTCAGTAGTAGTAGTCGTCGTCGTAGTAGAAGAAAGGAGGAGGAGCAGGAGGAGCGGTGGAGGTCGTGCAAACTAGTAGTACAAGTAGTAGGCGGCGGTTTGCTAGTCATGCTGGAGCTGTTGCTACTAGTGCGACGACGATGACAAGGACGACCGCGTAGAAGTAACAAGCAAGCTGCTCGGCTATGCCGAGATGGACTCTTCAGTTTGTGTCCACACTCGAGACATAAGCTTCGAACACATATGACAAATCACAACATATAACAACTACCAGGCTAGTTTGGAGCAGAAGCACGCAAGTGACACAGTGAGCTGGCCAAGGAACTCACCAGGCCCTGAACCGGACGACCGGCAGAGGCATGCAACCCGGTTCACTGCGTGTGTCAGTCCATCCAGTCTTTCGACGCTTGTTTGCCTCTGGTATCAGATAAAGAGCTGTTAAGGAGATGGATGGCTTTAGAGTTTTTAGAGGTTCCACCCCGCCCACTCCCTCTCTCACTCTCATTGTCTGTCCTCAAACATCTTTCAGCATTCGTGTACTCGTTGTTTTTGCTTGCTCTCTCTCTCTCTCTCTCTGCCTCTTGCCTCCACTGGTACCGCAAATTACGACAAGCTTCAAAAGGGCTTCAACAAAGAAAGCAGTCGGCATGAAGAGCCGATTTGCTCAATGTGCTGTCTCCACTCAGGCAGCCCACTATAGTTCGCAGTCAGCCCGAAACTCCTCGCAACCCCAAACAGCTCAGGGTAAGTGGCTACCCCAACTAGCCCCTCACACCCTGGACTCTATGCGTTCAAAACACCCGACAAGCTGCGGCCAGGGAGCGCAGACTTCTCCGAATTCGGCCGACGGGGTATTCGTGCCAAGGTGCCTAGGCTGTCTTCGAGTCTCGGATGTGGGGCCTGAGCTGTTTTTGGTTAAGGCGCTGAATTAAAGTCAAAGTGCCCTGAACCGATCCTGTGTATAGTAGTAGCCTGCCAGTTTTCAATCGCTGCTGCGTTGTTTGTGCTCGTTGTGCTCATCGTTATGAAGTTAAGATGATAAAGATCGCAGTGAGGACTTTGCTTGCGCTTATGCACATGAGCAATCATGGCGACATTTTGTGTCGGGAACCGAGACGATTGCATTGCTGTTCCAGTTGCTTACCCTGATGGTGAGGGCGTACGGGACCAAAAACCAGCTGCATGATTGTATCCATGTCTACATGGTGCGGACGTCATGATGATGGCAATGACACTGCTGCTGATGATGAGCATGATGACAACACTGGCGACGTCCCTGTCGACGAAGATGACGATCAAGATCTGATGATGGCTCGAGCCGACTGGAGTCAATAGTTTGTCGTCGGGTTGGACAGTGTTGATGTTAATCACACGGCACGAGACAGGTCATGGGCCGAGAAGTGCCCACCTACTGCGTGCGTCGCAACAAGCTCCACGGTGGCAGGATTTCTGATGTTAGCGGAGCACCAATACACGTATTCATTGCAGTGCAAGTTTGGCGGCATTGCCGTCGACGACGATGATGCTGATTGATATGCAGGTGGTCAGGGCTTGTGACGTTACGTAGATCTGCTGCCTTGCAGTGGCTATGTTGAGTTGTTATCTCAAAATCAATAAATATCGTTAGCATCCTGTGATGCACCGGGGCGAATCGCAAAAAAGCCCAGGCCGTAACGATTCAACAAGCCGGTTGAGGGGTCGCAAGCTCTTAAGCCAAAGCTGCAGCGGCAAGAGACCGCTTGAATTTGATTACGGCGCATGATTTGCCATCCGATTTGGAGCAGAGACGTCCCTGCCTTTTGTGCCAATGTGCCCAAGACCACCCTAAGCAACCTATGTAGTGCCTTCTGCTTTTGAATCTTCAGATCAGCATAGCAGTATACATGTCATTCCCGTAGTGATAGATCAGGCTTTGAGGCGTCACTCGCTTCTCGAAGTTTAGATTCCGAAGATTCTGAACGTGTTAGGCAGCCGGACACCTTGGGCTTGAATCCGACGACCCCGATGTCATGAAGCTTTCCAAACCTTATCCTCGAACCTACAAATCCTTAACGCTGTGGATCCCAAACCCTGCACCCTACCTACAGTACGATTTAGGTTTGAGGCTTGCGAACTTTCGGCTTCTCAGTGAGTCCCTCACCGACACCTTAATCTCGCTGTAGTGGTAATTATAGTTCCTCTTGGAATCCCACCAAAAATCTTAGTTTTCCCACGCATCGGCCTCAGTACAGATTTAAGACAAAAGCTTGTTTAAGCATGAAGTGCATTAAAACCCCCAGTTCCCCTGACACCGAAGGCACAACTGGGGTTGGACGATGGAGTCTTGCTGGGTAGCCCCTCGGCCTAGTCCTACTGGAGCATACGGGCTTCGGTCGGGCTTCAGGTTCGGTTTAGGGATGTTTAGGGTTTAGGGCCGGGCTCAGCTTCACTGCGGAGCCAGCTTTCGCATCCGCAACTCCGGGCGAGTGGAAAGCCTGTTGCAAAAGGGCCGGGCTCAGGGCAGTTGTGCATCATTTCGAGCTCTGTGCAACTGTCGCACTTTAGTATTACACCTGCCAGCATTCACAAAGCTCAGAGTACGATAGCTGTAAGATGCTGTAAGCCCAGTTTAGGGTCAAGACCAATCCCAGAACTCAAGCTTTGAGGGGTTCTTTGCGTCTCTCTTGCCCAACATGCGAAAGCAAAAGTTCGCCGCCAGCCACCCGAACTCCTAGCGTTCGAGCATGCCTAGCTTTGGTTGAGCTTCACTGAAGGATGATGCTCATGTCCTTGCGTGGCTGAGAGATGCTGAACGGAGCATGCTAGCATGCCGTTGGATCATCGCATCATACTTACGGCCCTCTTCGAAGGTCTGGTCTTCCTGGCCCATGCCTCGCAAGGATTCCCCCGAGGCTCCCAGCACTTCGCGGGGTCGCTTTTTTTCTTGCGGTTTCTGTAAAATTCGCCAGCTCAGTTCGCCAGCTTGGCGCTTCAGGAGTGGGGTCGTCATCGTACCGTCAATTAGTTAAGGCACCTGCTAGAAGCCGCTAGACAGTATAGACTTTTTGTCTAGCATTCTAAAACTGCTTTTCGCAGCCTCTCCTTTTGGTGCTAGTCGTTGCAGGGTGTGCAGCACAAGGGCCATAGAGTTGAGAAGCCCTGCTCAAACAGTGTGCTTGGCGACCTTTGTAAGGTTGATGTAATTAGCTAGTTGGGGGGTTTTGCTGTGAGTGTTCCAGGCTGGATACTCAGTTGGAGATTCTAGAACAAGAGACATCTGACCGCTAGGAAAGATTAGCTATGCAGCTGCCAGCAGGCGGAACTGCTGGAAGACGAAAGGCTGCCAGTGAGCTTCGATGTCCAGGAGGCGCCTCGCTTGCGCTGCGAACTTCCCCTCATTACAGCGGTCCCTGCGTTTTCCTGCAGGTTTGGCTTCTGCTTTCTGCTCGCCAGAAGAAGTCTTCACACAAGGAGAAGCGCACTGCAAGACGAAAGACCCCCCAGAACGTCATTCCCGATTGCAGGACAGAAGGTGTCAGCTCATACTCAACCGAAGACCGCAAGAGACACCGTGCGCAACAAACCTACGAAGAAAAGCCGCTCCCCAAACCGATTTCGCTTCAAGAACTGAAACCCGCCCCACCCCCCCCCGCTTGTGAGGGCATGTGAGTCTAATCAATCGGCTGTTATAAAGTATTGCACCGTGCCTGTTGAACATGCCAGACCCACCATCTTTTCACGAAAGGTTCGGAGTGTTTCGAAACCATGAAGACAGCGCAGCCCAGGATCAGGCCATGGCCTTCAACAATGGTTACCGGCGAGTCGAGACTCGACTGCAGTGGATATAGGATGCTCCTTCGACACTGACACTGGCGATTGTGATCTTGGTTGTTACATGCTAATGTGGTCCTTGCTCGAATTCCCGAGTCTTAATGTTTTCCATCTGGTGCAGCTGAAATTCCCGGTGTTGAGCAGAGCTGCCGTATACATGCATGGAGCGTGTGCGGAATCTGTCCTGAAGCCGCAGCCCGCGCTGCCCGTCACTAGCCTGGACCCTGAAGAGCAGACTTGTGGAGCCCCAGGAGCAGGAGGAGACAGAGGTCGACGGCGAGAGCGAACCCTGGCAGTCAAGGGCAGAGGTGGATTGCAGGGCTTTACTTTCTCTTGCGCTTCGGTCTCGGGCCTTTGCTTTGTGTGGATTCCAACACTAGTGCCTAAAGAAGGCGCGCGCTAGAGCCCAAAACCACAGAGCCAACCCTGCTCTTCTTGTGCTGCTTCAGCGACAACCAGGACCAGGCCTCGCATCTTAACTGCCCAAAGAAGCACGACGAGCTAGAGCTGCTAGCTTCAGGAGCACGGTCCTGTCTGGCAGGCCTATCTAGTTGGTACTTGTGTTTGCGAAAGACTAACAAGCCTGTTCAACATTCCCCGAAGCCCGAAGATTTTGAAAGGAGCCGGATGCAGAAGACCGCGTGGTGGTGCCTGCTGAGTGGGGATCTGGGGAAGGCTGTCGGATGTCGGGTTGCGGATGAACATTTTGTTCTTTGTGTGGAGTCGGGGAGGGGGAGGGGTGTGACGGACGGATGTAATCATGTGGGTCATTGGGGGATTGTGACTGTCTGGCACCACAGCGTGTGGAAATGTAGAACCCTGCCTCTGACAAGTCGATGCCCAGAGTATTGCCGGGAGACCTGGTTTCAATAGCAGCTCCAAAAAGGCTCAAAGACTGAACTCCGGTCCCCGATATACGAGGCCCTCAGAAGCCCTCAAGCATCCATAAGTTGGAATCCTAAAGCCTCGGTCCAAAACCATTCAAAAACCTCAACTAGGCTCTTTAGGCACTGAAGCAGGCGAGGCTGAGGAGGCCGAGGATGACAGCGAGCCGGTCAGCGAGGCGCGACGAAAGGGGCTTCGGATTGTTGGCTTGGCGATTCAGGGTTTAGGGTTCAAGGGTGCAGGGTTTAGGGCCTGGGATGTTGGAGAATCGAGGGCTTGCTTGGGTTTCTGTTTGATTTCTTGAAGCGTCGAGCTGGTGGTACGATGGCTGGTTCCTTGGGGGTTCTCCGGCTTGCCTCGTGTCGGCAACCAACTTTCAAGCCGGGATCTTTGCCAGGGTTTGGGCAGCGGCCGGCTCGGATACACATCTCATCAAGGCAGTAAATTCTTTGATACTGTGCGTTTTGGAGGACGATGTCGGCTTTGGAATTCCGAGGCTTCCGGTTTCGGGTTGGAGAGTCAGAGTTCAGAGTTTTGTTTGGGCTACTCTTGGGTGCGGGATGTAGAATTCTGCCGGCTTGGCGGGCTTTTGTGCTTTTGCTTTGGGGCCGCCTGGGCAGATTCGCGGGAAGTCATTGCTTGTGGGGGCTTGCTAGGAGGAGCCGGAAGAGCCCAGCAACGAGCAGTCGCCGCGATTCGTGATTGCTGCTTGGCGGCAGACGGATATACCAGCTTGGAGTGCCCAAAGAGTGAAAGAGGCCTTATGTGCCGCATATGGCAGTCCAAGTATTGCACAAGAACCAGTCCAAGTGCTTAACGGTGTCGGGACCAGTGTCGCCCCTATCACGGCTGTGGCGAGGGCGAGAGCACAACTCGAGCAGACGACGCCTGACGCGGCCAAACGTGGGATTACACCAACAGTGTTGCGACACTGCTCGCGAAGAATCCGACGCATATGAGCCTAGTATGAATACCGTGTCGCTCGCTCCGGCGACGATCACTGTAGAGAGACACTTGCTCCAGGCTTTGTAAGCTGCAGCCAAAAGTGCTTTCGCTGACCGGGCTGTTGTGTTGTCACAGAACCAGAAATGAATCCATCAAGAACCACCTTTAAACCCTAAACCCTTTGGGCTGGCAGCTTCCATGACCAACATACTACATATTGCGGCGGCCGGACGTGTGAGTGGGTTGGTAGGTGGGGGTGGGCGGTGTGCGGACGCGTTTAACAGGTTTGAAGACTTTGTGCTTCGGATCCAACAGAGCAGAGCGATGTCATCTTGCAGCTGCTTTGCCATCCGAAATCTCAACAGTTCAGCCGCGGTGTCTCGAATTCCGAAAACAAGGTCAGGATCGGGGATCACTTGATTCGCTTGCCGCGCGCCTTGATTGACAGCACTACGCCCGCCGCCGGCCTGAAGATGGAGTCAGAGGTTGACTGTTCTGGATTCTCTTTTGTGTTTCAGGGATCTGAGCCTTGAGGATTCAATTCCAACCAAATATACTATAATACACACGCACGGAGGTGTTTCGGTGACAAAGGTACCGGGGCCATTTCCTTAGACTCACAAAGACACTTCTTTTGACGGGTTTTCGGCCTCCCAGAGCCGCTTTGGCTCAGTCCGTGAAGAACATGGGCCTAACTTTCAAATGGCTCTGGCTCCTGGCCGCTGCACGGGTGCACCGGGTACACTCTGAAGATCAGGTGGATGGCGGGGATATCCTGGATGCCATGCTAGGTGCACCGCCAGCCACAGTTCAGATTCCTACCATAGCGCCCGTGATCGCAACCACCCCAGCGCCGATCATCTCGCCGAACAAGCCGGGTTGTGCCGCTGATATCACGGCGGCTTTGTACGACCTTACGGTCGTCGCCCGTATGCTCACATACATGACAGCCGACTGCTCGCAGCCAGGCCAGGATTCTACGGTTTGCGCCGCCGACATCCTGACGATGATCAGATACATGGGGAAAGCTGCCGGAATCATCTCGGATGCTGTGTTTACGTGTGGCAACATCCAGGCAGGATGCAGCCAAACAATCGCGGATGCCATTGGAGAGTTGGCTCATCTCACAAACTTTGTGGTAGCGATGGAAATTCAGTGCGACCTCTCCAGGCTCTTCTGCGCATCTCAAGTCTTCAACTTCCTTTCCTCCGGGCTCCACTGTGCGAAGAACATCGACACGGCAATTGTACAGTGTCCTCTGCCCGGAGATGATGGCGGCGGCGACGATGGTGGCGACGATGGCAGCGCAAGCGATGGTGGTGACAGCGGAGACGGGGGTGATGGTGGCAGCAGCGGTGCCACAACAACCGCGGCAGAAGCCCCACCGGACCTGACGCCTGACCAGGTGAAGACATTCTATCCAAACGGCCCGAACGGCGCCCCTCCTGTGCTCGGAGCAAGCCCCGACCGCTTGCTTTTAGGCCCATCGCTGCGTGGCAAATGGGGACGCTCAAAGCCACCCACGGCGGTGTCTCCGTCCATTCTTCCTACGACCGCCGAGGGCTTGGAGTGAGGCTGTGAGGTTTCTGACTGAAGACGGGGAAGTTTAGCTGTTGTCGGGTTTCTTTAGGGTTTTCAGACGGGTTTCCTATAAGTACTAACACTGCTTTGCAATCTTGTGTTTATCTTCTCGGGTCAGTCACTAGACCTGTTCAATGTAACAGGCTCTGACCATGTTGTCGAACTGATGCATTCAGGTGTTGTTCTCACGCAAGGCTGCTCAATTAGACTTCAGAAGCAGCTGCCGCGATGCTGACTATGAACCTTGCCTGGCTTGTCCAAAAGTGCCGAAGACTTTTGGAATACATGAGTTAAAGGCTTCAGCGTTTTGATTAGGTCACCTTACATTTTCTGGTGCGTGTTGTTCTTGAATGCTTGCTGCTGTAGCAAGTGCGTGCTCCCGTGGAAACGGTCCTGTGAGTGGTTGGGTTTGGCTGTGGCATGGTGGTCTTTGCTGGGAAAGGATGCGAGTGTAGCTGCTGTATCTGAAGGCGGACTTGTCGTGAAGCCTTGCTTGCATATCGAGCCTGGGAGTTGAAATCCCCAAAACACAAATCCACCCGCTGAGAAGTAAGAACCTCGCCTGGCTTGTCCGAGAGTGAGCGTCCGTAAACCCTGCAAGCTCTCCCTGTTTTTTTTTCGAGTTGCTTCAGGAGATGTTGGAAGAGATGCTCCGGCGGAGTTTGGAGAGAATCTCCGAGCAATGAGCGCCGCTTTGGGAGGAGCTACAGTGGCCTAGTGCTCTTGATTGAAGAGCTTTGGAACCTGAAAAGTCGTGAGGACAGGGCTTTAAGGATTGAAGCAGAAGCAGCGAACTCCAGCCCTCGCAAGTTTGCAACAAACGTCGGGGATCGGGATAGTCAATTTTATCCATGATCTTCCGAAGGCCAAGGCTTCGAGACACAACCCTCCAGTTCTGGTCTGGCCTTCACACATGCAGCTTGGTTCTTGTTCTTCATGCGGCGTCCGGCTACTGCTACTACCACCTGCATCAGACTTTATGCGAATGGACGAGTCCACTTGTTTGTTCACCCTGAATCTTAAACTCCAGGCCTTGCCAGTCGTATCTTTCCTGCTTCAATCTTCCCACATGCAGCTCCAACATCAAGTACTATCTGAGTACAGGACTCTTTACAAGCACTGTTCTCGCCATAGTCATCCATGGTAGTGGTATGCTGCCTCTTTACCAACAATGGTACTAAGAACAAAGAGTAACGGCCACGAAGAACGACAGTCATATCCCCACAGTTCTTAGCCAGTCGCCTGTGCATAGCATACCCTGGAGCGGTTCGAAGAAGAGACAATTTTCAGGAGGCCGAGCAAAGCATCACCGGACTGGTTGAACATAATCTATGCCGTGTGTTGTTTCAGCTTGTGCGTGGCTCCATCGCTGACCGAAGTACCTCTTCGTCGAACTTTCGAGGTTTCCCAAGGGCTGCTCTTAAGCAAGCTGCCCGGCAACAGAGTGGCCGATGCTATTTGTATACAGTAAGGCTCTCCTTTGACAGTATAATGTTGAAACTATTGTGTCGGTTTGCCACCCCGGCAATCTCAAGATCTTTAGCTCGTTTGTAGGGTCTTGCAATGTCCGCCTGGGAATCCCAAGGGAATAAGCCGCACTTCCTTGAAGTACTGAAGAAGGCCGGATCCTAAAGCACGAGACGCTACGCCATAAACCCTAAGACCCTGGACCTGTAAACTGAAAACTGAAGTCTGAATTTTGCACCCGGTTCCCCCAAAAAAAATCGCACCAGCGCTGAATAGTGCGGCGCCGCGAATATTCGCGCAATCAATTTCTTCACATCAACTCCAGTACCTAAAGCAACCCTGTATTCGCCAGGGGAACCCCAAATTAAAAGTGTATTAAAGAGGGTCACCGATTTAAACCGGGTGCAACCTCAAAGGCCCCAGATGATAGAGGCCCGATTCCCACATCCCCAAGCCCATGAATCCTGACAAAGGTCCCACATATTTCGCGTCCCTCCCCCCCCCCCCTACATGTAGGGCACTCTGCTAGAGCGGCCCTTTTTTATGCGGCTCCGGCGCAGAACTCGGGCCCAAAGCGGTGCGATTGAAAAGGGAGGGGAGTGTTCGGGTTTTCGGTGTCAGGGTCTAGGACTTTGGGGAAAGAGCTTGTGCTGCAGGAGTTGGGGCGAAGTGATGGTGGTTTGCAGCGAGTTTAGAACAGCCGGGCATGAAGACGTCCGGTTATACATCGTAGCAGCCACGTTCGTAACAAGAAGAGTTCTCGATCACCTACGGGTCTGTTGGCGCATGGAGCCACAAAGCTAGTTTTGAAAGTTGGAGGCCGGTGAGATTGCTGAGTTTACTGCTGGCACTTCAGGCGATCGGCAGGGATTGGTTGTTTTTGGGTTTCACAGTTGTTGAGTACTGACAGTCTTTCGTTTTGGATGCTTGGATTAGACCTTTAGGTAGGATTTGTGCAGTTCTCCCACATGTTGTGCAGCCAACCGTCGATCAATGAGCCAAAAAGTGAACAGCCCTAAGTTGGATTCAAAGCATACAGCTGTGATATCTATGCATGGTTCAGGCTGTGTCAGCTACCAGCCATGACTGTGAAATGCATCCTGGTTGCAGTGCTCTTGAAACCATAAAAGCGGCCCATAGGAATGCGCAGTGCAATCCTTCACTATTCTCGGAATCAACGGAGAGTTCTCGTATGGGCACAATGTGACCAGGCCGGTCGACATATTTTCTTGCTGAGAACAGGACGAACTGGAGCCTAGAGGCAAAGTCGGGGTAGCTGTGTTCTCACAATCTCCAGCAGTCTAACATTGAATTCATCGTGGAGTGTTTTACAGTGCATTCAGAGTTGGGCTAAGTTCGATTCATCTGCCGCAAAAGAGAACCAGTACGTTGTGTTCAAAGTCGTACGGGCTCGGCTAGGCTATGGCATCGGCTACATGGAGTACTCTTCTGGCCTTGTCATCGGAAAGCTTGGCCTAAAATCTTGAATCCCTGAAAAGTTGAATCTTGAAGTCGCAGGACTTAGCCGCTGCGGGCGTCATGGATGGTGATGTCGGGTCCCCATGATCGGCCATCGAAGGGTACGGAAAAGAAGGCTTCGCGGCCCCCAGCGTTTAGATTCGTGTTGTGGTTGGGCTCGGGGCCAAGTAGAGGACATTCATGACCATTCAGGGTTCACGGTCAATCCGTCGGCAAAAGGAATCCAAGACGCTCAAGTATGCTCGATGTAGCACTTGCTGCGTGGCTTTGCCCCTATCCATCCTGTTTACAGCGCTTGCCGCGTGGCTTGGCCCCTATCTTGTCTACAGCACTTGCTGCGTGACTTGGCCACTACAGTATCCGATCCTGTTTACAGCGCTTGCTGCGTGGCTTTGCCCTTACACTGTTTACATTGCTTGCTGTGTGGCATTTCCCTATCTTGTTTACAACGCTTGCAGTGCGGCATTGCCCTATGCTGTTTGCAGCGGTTGCTGTGTGGTGTTGCTTGTATCTTAGTGGCAGTGCCCGTTTCCTATTTACCGTGCTTGCTGTGTGGTCTTGCTTCTATCTTACGTACAGCAGTTGCTGTGTGGCATTGCCCCTAGCCTGTTGACAGCGCTTGCGGTGAGGTTTTGTTTTTATCTTATGTACGGAGGTTCCTGTGTGGCATTCTCATGTATCATAACACGGTGCCATTTCGCTGCTCGCCCAATTTCCCCATTCAATTCCCGAAAGTTTGCCGGATTCCCGGTCGCTGTACTCCCAAGATGCAATCGTGCCTAAGCCTTTGCCCCATATTGTTGGGGTTTTAAAGCTCGGAAGGATTACTAGCGGGGGACCCTTTTGTGTAGTATTCCGACTCTTGCGCTAAACCCTCATAAAAACCACCTAATATCGATCCGCGGAGTCCCAGCGTAAACCTGGCCTTTTTGTAGATCTTTCCGAGAAGGTGAGAAAGGCTTGTGCAAGAAGTTTTCCGTGAAGGAGACCCTCTGCGCCCACGCGTGCCTTTCACTAGGATTTGGCTGCTGCCGGAGTCATGGCTGGTGCAGAGGCCCCTTCCACAATACAAGAGGTTGCGCCAGGTCAAGCTATGCTATTGTTTATGAATGGCAGACTAGGAGTCAGGGTCCGTATGGGAGTCGTCAAACACAGCTTAGACCATTGTGGCACAAGGATCCGATTCTGCGGTCAGGATCTCGCGGCTGCAGGTGTCATGGAAGAGGATGCCACTGCCCCGGTGGATGTTGGGCAAAGTGCGCATGTGCGTGACGCGGGTTCGTGAGGAGAGGGAGACACTTGTGCATGCTGGAATGGCGAGTTGCAAGTGTTCCAAACTAGATGTTCTGCCATGTTTTCGTTCCAGATTCGTAGCCTGCACGAGCAAGAGGAGGGGTTGTCATCGCTCTTCCGGCTTCAGGAGGATAAGAACATAGTTGGAGAGTCGTCTATTCCCTATAGCCGTGTCTTTCTCGACACAACCCGTGGCCTTCAGACTTCGTCGAGCTTGAGGCACTACTTCGTAAAAGGTCTGATTGCAGCGAGACAGCACAGCTTGCTTGCCTGTTGATGGTTCTGCCTGTGGGCTTGTGCTGGCATTGATGTTTGTACGTCCTTGGTTCTATTGCTTCTACCAGGGCCGCCAACATTTAAAATAGCACTGAGTTGCCAGTATGAACATCGCTTTTTTACCAGCCGATACCAGCCGTGAATAGGTGCTTGGCAACAACACTGTTTGTGGCCCGAATACTGAGTGTCACGTTTGTCATACACGCTGTGTATGCTTATCCTGAGGTGAACCCCTTTTGCGATATTGCTACTACCCTAAACCCTAAACCTAGTGTTAGCATGGGCAGTACTGCTCACAAGCAGTATGTGTAGCAGAAGTGGCCCCGAAGTCGTAGTCGCCATGGCGGTGCGGCGACAGCAAAGCTTAAGGAACAGTTGTTTTCAAGCGAGAGGGCCCTCGATGTCTTCATTTTGAAACGGAAGCATTTTGATTAAACAAAAAGGTTCCGGACTTGAGAGTACCCTGGGTTTGTTGCC